GGAAATTCCTCAGTTGCCTTTCCAGTAACTTTCAGTGAGTGGAAAAGAGTATAAGAGAATGAGATATTCTTGATCTGACACAACCCAACAGAGAAGACATAAACAAGAAAATAGAAATAGGAGGAGCACTTGGGGACCCATTGGCCCAATGCCCAACTCTATCTTTACTGCATTTTTACTCATTCTGCATTTTTGCTCATACATTTCATCCTTTATTCATTCAGTTATCATTAGTACTTGCCATCACTCTGCACAAAAATATCTCTTGGCAAGGGTGTTAAACTCCTGTCATCACATTGTCACATGACATATCGTGACTTTTTCCCCTTCTAAACCGGGTGTGGGTGCAGCCAGAGTGTTACGCACGGGCCACAAGTTTGACACCTCTGTCTCAGGTTATCTAATTAAAAGTTAACTCAGATATTTCTCACCATAAGATCTGCTCTCCCTCTCCAAAAACCTTACATGTCTACTGTGCCCCCAAATCTACACCAAATAGTCCCACGACAAACCACAATTGGTGTACCCACAAGATTAGAAGTCATCATCTGCAGCAATGCCCATATGGATTCTACATAGGAGAAATGGAACAAACTTTGCACAGAATGGACACAAGACTGACATCACCAATCAAGCAAGACTGAAATAATATCAAAGTATTTTAACCTTTCAGAACACTTCGAAGTTACTGTTTTAGCTGGACTTTAACAGCACCATTAAGTAAGCAGTTGTTGAACTGTCATACATCATGGTTTCAGGCAATCTCAGAAGGTCTCAGGTTCTCAACAAATACAATGGGTTTTTCACATATTAAAATCATTAACCAGCAAGGTGCTTGTAACATGTGTCACATATAGCCTGTTTCTACACAACCAACCTCTCTTCCCTGATCTTTCCTCCACACCTTTTTCTTCTTGCCTTTTCTTGCCCCCATCTCCCCTCCTACATCAGTCTAGTCACTCTGTGTATGTGATGAAGTTAGCTGCAACTCACAAAAGCTTATACCTTTTAATCAGTTAGTTGGAAAAAATACTGCCAGATTCTTGGGTTTTTTTTTTGCACCATAGACTGAATACCTAAGTTGTAATTTCTTGTTGCAAATCTACTGTATAAACAGAATAAACTGCTAGTGTGAATCTCTTGGCAATGTGCTATAAATTAAATTAAACATGCCAGAGACACATAATTCTAACACTTCCAAGAACCCAAACAATATATACAACTACCCTACTCTCAGATTACAAAACTGTTCAATTTATCTAAAATATGAAATGTTTCTATTACCACATGAAATTCCCATGGTCCATATAAATCTTATATTTGCTAGTACAAACAACAACAAGCAAAGCATTTTGATTAAATTTTTCCAAGAATGAAACAGGCTCCAAACTGACTGGCAAAAGTATATTTATGGAAACGAATTGCAATGGCATCTCAATGATTTTAAAATAAAAATGTACAACCAATCATAAATGAAATTATTAACCTTCAACTAATAATGGAATTATATTAAGGCTGAATTTCACAAGTAATTTGAGGATATTCAGGTCTGCGAGGGACACAGAGATTTGTAATCTGATTTTAAATTAAAATAGGAACACTAAGAATTTCCTTGGGTTGGTCTTGACACCTAATGGGCTTATGCATGTACATTTCTTATCAGCAACATAGACATAGTTTGTTACTACTACTTTTTTTCGGCTTCCCTGTCTAATTTTCAATCCTCAGATTTCCTGGTGGTCTTCTATCCAAATAGTACTCTGATCAGCTTTATTGAGATTAGCAGAAAAGGGCTAGGTGAAGCCCCTTAATTTATGAATTAGGGAGGAAAAGACATGACAAGAACTGCTTACTTTAGGCAATGAAAATTATAGTTCTATTTCACTTAGAGATATTTTTAGAAACAACAAAGTGAAAATTAGTTGTCTTTGTGCTAGGCTGCATGATTCCTTCAACTGAATGAGGGACCACCTTAAAGCAGATTTTGGAAGGAGAGGAGAAAGCAAAGTAAAAAGAAGCCATAATGTGCAAGCAGATGTCTACTTGCATAACACACAATAAAGCAGGGGTCTCCAAACCCCGGGCAGCAGCCTGTTCGAAACCGGGCTGCGGGAGAAAGCTCCACTCCACTCATGTGAGTGGTGAACAAACACGCACGTGCATGCAAAGCTTCACTCACACGAGAGGAGGGTGTCTGTGCTGGTGCACAAAGCTGTACCCTCACAAGCGCAAGTGCCTGCTGCTCGCACAAGTGGAGTTTCCTGCACATATGCAAGCACCCTCTGCTTCTGCCTGAAGCACCATTGGCATGAGTGGAGGGCACGCACCACTTGCACAAATGGAGCGGTGTGCGTCTGCCACTCACACAGCCCCGCCCCATATCAGGCTGGGATGCCAGGCTGGAAAGGTTGGGAACTCCTGCAATTGAGCACAGAAATTGTGGTTTAATTCAGGAATGTCAAGTGAGTGGCATTGCAGCCTGGAGGTAGAACTCTCTCACTCTCAATCAGGAGGCTGTGAGTTTGATTGTAGATAGTAGGAGATATTTCTCTCTCTGGCCGCAAAGAGAAAATATCTGCTATGAACTCTGCATAGGCGTCAGGAAGAGCATCCGGCCAGTAAATGCTCAGCTCTGTTTAATTGCCCCAACTCTGCCCTGATGCAAGGGATTAAAAGAAAAAAAAATCTGGAATATCACATATGGTCCTTTAATTCTTTGGGGTGCAGTTCTATTCTACTCAGTTAGTAAGCTCCACTGAACTCATTTAAACCTACTCTAGAATAAATCTCTATAGAAGAATATAGAATTTTTGACAGTAGACAATTGAATTGGATTTACTAATACTGCTTTGAATTTTACTGTACTATTTTTATTCTTAATCTTTGGAATTTGCATTAATTATTTAAGCTGTCTTGAATGCCATAAAGATAGAAAGTCAGGAGACATGTTAATCATGAATAAATAATAAAAACAAAATATCAAGCAAAGGGGTCTTTTGATCCTGAGAAATACAAATAATCATAATAATAACAATTATTATGATTATTACTATAATAACTATTTTATCCTATATTACAACAATTGTTTCATAAAAACTGAAATAGATTGCTGATATAAATTTTAAAGGAATTTTCTTCAGCATACAGTCCACATTTCAAATACTTGTTCTCAGTTTCAAACATATCAATTTTTTCAATAAAGAAATAAATTACAAATAAAGAAGAAATAAAGAAGAAATAAAGAAAATGAGTTTTGCACTGGCTGTTATACATGTGGCAAAATAGATATTAAGACTACTTAAAATTTGATTTTGTTGTATTTTCTCTGATTTACTGTGTTTACCACTTTGTTTTTTCCTTAAATTCTCCAAGACAACCAAGGGAATGTTGACTTAATGAGAACATTTAATAAGAATGTTGTAATTTGATTTGCAACAGGCAGTGCTCAATTTACAAACACGATCAAGCCCCAAATCTCTGTTGCTAAGCAAGACAATTGTTAACTAAGTTTTACCCCCTTTTACAACCTTTTTGCCACAGTTGTGACAAATCACAGCAGTTGTTAAGTGAATCATGTGGTCATTAAATGAACCTGGCGTCCCCCTTTCATTTTGCTTGTTGGAAGTTGGCTGGGAAGATCACAAATGGGGATCACATGACCCTGGAACAGTGCAACTGTCGTAAGAACTTGCCAGTTGCCAAGCACCTAAATTTTAGTCACACGACCATGGGGAAGTTACAACAGTTGTGAAAACAATGCAAAAACAGTCCAAAGTAACTTTTTCCAGTGCTGTTGTAACTACGAACTAAATAAATGCTTTACTCTCTTCGAACTAATCAATTTGGTTTATCATATTGAATTGGAGCCTACTACTCTGGCTAATCATTGGAAATGTGGATTTAATACTGTCCATAACATAAAAATATTTTCTGTCAAGACTACTATTACTATCAGTAGAGCCTCAGTGGCGCAATGGTTAGAGTGCAGTACCGTAAGGTACTTCTGCTGCAGCCAGCTGCCTGCAATTTGGCAAATCCCACCAGGCTCAAGGTTGACTCAGCCTTCCATGCTTCTGAGGTGGGTAAAATGAGGACCCAGATTGTTGGGGGAAATATGCTGACTCTGTAAACCACTTAGAGGGGGCTGTAAAGCACTACAAAGCGGTATATAAGTCTAAGTGCTCTTGCTATTGCTATTTCCCTGCCATGAAATAAAAGATTGAGATGTTAAAAGTTCACATTCTTCCTATTAAAGCCACTTTCTTCATAGTGTGGAAGTATTCTCTCTGCATCAGGAACCGGCCCTACATATATTATTGCTAAGGAGGAACTTTGATATCCCTTTCCACACACATGCACAGAGCCCCATCGCCACCCTATCCAAGTCAAGAAATATTCACTACTACAATTTCCTCCTCTTTCAAGACAGTCAAATTCAGGATTGTTAACGGCATTGCCTTGCTTTAGAATGGAAGGACAGATTTTTCCTGAGAAATGCCTATTAGTATTACAACACATTTCCAAAAATACAAGTCTGACTGGAATACAATGTTGCACACCAACATTGTCCCAATAGAAAGCATGTGATTCCCACGAAAACCAACATGACAAGTAACTTGATATCTGAGTACCAAAATCCAATTATGGAGCAGTACCTATTTTAGCAAAAGGATAGAGCATCTTATTTACATGGCACAACCTGCTTAAAAATCAGGAAGCGAAAATGATTTGATTCTACTCCACTCATAAACATATTGTTTTTTATATTTACAGTTTAATACATTCTATGTTAACTTTATTTGATTAATTCTATCCTAAAGTTGGGCTATCCAACTTTAAAATGGTTTTCTGGTTTTTGTTAATAGTGAAGTTTCCCAGTATTATATTCTTGAGAATTGAAGGAGAAAACACATGCACAGAACTCAGAAACAGCGAAAACGAAGAGCTGGGGCTATAACTTCCAGTTCAAAGCATAAATATATAAATGCTCAGGGCCTTACCTCTTTTTCTATTTTAAGAAGCTTCTTCACAGCCACCTCCTTGTCCTGAGATACCCATCGGGCTCGATATACACTCCCAAAACTTCCGCCGCCACAGTTTTCAAAGAACTGCAGATCATCGAATTTAATTTGCACAAATGAAGCACCGAGAGACAACATCTCATAATGACAATATATATACCACCAAAAGATCTGTAAGGAAAAAAACATCTATTAGACTTCTGATGTCACGAGTCACTGAATTCTTAACTTTCCTTTATACCACAATGAAAATAAGTTCTTATTGACACAAAAAGCTGTGACACTGACATTGCATACCTTCAGTACAAAGTCCCCAAACTATTTTTTTTTTGTAGAGGAGCAACTAGAATATACAGCACATTTCCTCCTATGTTCAGATCCTACAGCACTACCGGAAAAGGTTCTTGTATGTGTACCGGCACATATTGAAAGACAGACCAATTCCCTTACAGTGACATACGCTGTCAAAGGGAAAGGATATTTGCAGCTTGCCTAGGAGCTTTGGAATCTAGGCTATGCCATGAATCTTTGTTGAATCACTTGAATATACACAACCTAAGTCCCTGACGAATCTAGCACAACACTCATCTTTCCAGAACAAGTACCCTGGCTGCAAATCTTTGCTAAAGAATAAATGCTTGATTTGGAGTTTTAAGTGTAACTGACCAAAATACATTTTTTCCTTCCTTCATGGCTTATTTGTAGTTACAGAAAAAGGAAGCAATTATATTCTCTCTTCCCCTCCCTCCCTCTCCCTTTCCCTCCTTTTGTGTACCCCTACATGAATACTGTGTCAGAGTTTAGTTTGGTTTATACTTAAACTGGATCATAGTGTCTTGTTCATCAATGGGACATAAAAATATTCATTCAAATCACAAATTACAAGATCAGCTTTTATTTATGTATATTTTTAATAATTCTGACATAGTTTGGGACTGCATCACTGAACAAATGTGATCCTTCCTCAAAATAAGATCTTAAAAACCCATTCACAACAAGCATTACACTAATGTAGATAATAAAGTACCTTAGATCATTTTCTAAATGTATTTCTGTACAGTTGTGGACAGAACTGAGTGCTGTTCTCAAGCAGGATGAAGATGGTTAAAATAAATAATGCAAAAGTTTAGAGAACTAAATGGCACACCTGGCTCAGTCCTGATAACCACATACCTGCCTTCTTAAATCTGGAGGACAAAAAACCCGTTGTAGAAACTATATGAGATGGTGATTGGGAATTCTAAATATAGAATTGGTAACTCAAAGAAATGCACCAAGCCAGCTTTGATTTTTTTCTTTTGTCCCATCCAAAGCCTACTGTTCTGTCAGGTATTCATACGTTATTTGTAGCTTCTATGAAATGCATGGCATACTTGAGGTATACCTTTCTGGGTGTTTGGTTTTCTGCCTTCCATGGCTTTTTTTTTAAATTAAGGTTTGTTGATGATTGCTTTACATTGCTTTGGAATTTTTATAAATGGTGCAATATAAATGGCAAGGACATTAGCGGACCTCGCCCGAGCGCGAGACAAACGCTGAAGAAAAAGAAGAAGAAGGTGCAATATAAATGGCATTTACCCATAAGTAAATACATAAATACTATATCCCTTGTGCTACTACTGTCTTAATAGAGGCTATGATGTTAGAAAACAATGTATCTTGTTCAAGTAGCAAAACACATTGATAAGATTGTTCTGATAAATTCTCTTTAATTATTTGTTGCCTGAGCCCACCCAATTCATTTGCAAGCATGTCCTATGAAATCCCTCAACAGCACTTTTGGGAAACCACCAAAACCTGTGCTAGAAGAAAGAGGCAAGTGCAGATAGCCAAATGAAGTTCTATACACCTTTGTTTTTCCTTATCTAACATATTAATGCAGAACTGCTCTACCCCCAAAAAAGAAAGGGGGGAGGGAGGGAGGGAAGGGAGGAATGCAGAACTAACTACCCCCCAAAAAGAAAGGGAGGGAGGGAAGGGAGGAAGAGACAGAGATGATTACATATTCATTCACAAAATGAAAAGTAATATCATTTGTAAGGCTCTGGAACACATTATGTTGCACTTATTCATACACTTGGCTCATTTTGCCATATGAATATTTAAGACAGTATAATTTGTGGGGGGGAGGCCCTCAGGATCCAACCAGAAAAAATCCAGCATGCAAAAGAGATTCTTGTAAACAAAATTTGTCTTTATTTGTGGCATAATTCAAGGGATAGTAAAGTCATAGTTTCTCTTTCAGATCTAAAGATTAATCATTAAACCACATTTCACTTAAATAGAGAAACACCGTCTCCTCCTAGAATTTTATTTTGAAGAAGCTTGGCATGCAGTAAAGGAGTTACTTTGTGATTTATTCCCTTCTATCCTCCAATGATTAATCTGTTTCATGTAAAGTAGCACTATTGCTACTGTATTAGTGTGTGCCTAATATATACTGTATCTAAATTTTTACAGGTAATTGTTTCTTACTAACCCCTCCCCACAGTTAATTTAAGGCTTTAATTATGCTCAGTTGTCAATCTTGCACAACCAGCAAAACAATAATCTTCTTAGGTCTTCTTGGGATCCTTCCTCATTGGGTAGACCATTAAAACATGATCATCCTTCATTTTTGGTGATCCTCCCATCACCTCAAGAGTTCTTCAGAGTTCTTCAAACTACCTAAATTCAGAGTATTTCTTTTAATGACTGCCAAAAATAAGGGAGCAGAGTAAAAAATCATGGGAACTGAGACTGGCATCCTCCAGCTTCTTTTACAGGTAGTCCTCGACTTACAAACACAATTGGGCCCAAAATTTATATGTTAATAAGTAAGGCATTTGTTAAGTGAGTTTTGCCCCCATTTTATGACTTTTCTGGCCACATTTGTTAAGTGAATCATTGCAGTTAAGTGAATCTGACTTCCCCATTGACTTTGCTTGTCAAAAGGTCGTAAAAGGTGATCACATAACTCCGGGACATTGCAACCATCTTAAATATGAACCAGTTGCCAAGCAAGCACCTGAATTTTGATCCCATGACCATAGGGATGCTGCAACGGTCATAAGTGTAAAAACTGATAATAAGCAGAAACATACAGTAAACGATTTAAGACATAATTTACCCAAATCTGCAAGCATCCTGGAGGGTGGTCAGACAATTTATAACCCAACACATTTGAAATGAAACTGCTAAGGGCTGTTTCAATACGGCAACATTGCATTAGTGGTAACAATCTACAAAAGGCTTCATCCTAAAATATTGTAACTGCATTAGGATCCACTGGCCAATCTTTCCAAGATCCAGAATATAAATGTTATATGTAAATGCTTAGGTAGATAGGTAGGTAGGTAGGTAGGTAGGTAGGTATGGATGATAGACAGACAGACAGATGGACAGATGGTAAATAGATGTATAGCCAGGTAGACAGTAGACAGTAGACAGGTAGACAGACAGATACGGTATTTGATAGATACGGTAGATGACAGACAGACATAGAGTTTGATACATAATATATATGCACATCTACTTATATATTGAATGTTACATATCCCCTGTAAATATATATATATACTTATATATTGAATGTTACATATCCCCTGTAAATTACACAAGTTTAACCTTTGTGGTTCTAAACTATGTAACCAAAGAAAGGTATTATCAAGAAAGATCAAACTAAAAGTTCTGCTTTACCTTTGCAAGCCAAGAATTTCTCTCATCCTTTCCTAAGAACTGAATGTTTAAGTTTTATTAGATATAAACTGCTGTTTTAAGAAAGAAGAAATTCCTCAACCCCCTGGTCATATCATTTACAGAAACACCATCAGGAGCTCCTGCTACTATTGTAGGAAAGCAGTGAGGAAGGTTAGGGTGATTGGCTTTGTTGTATGCAAGCATATTAGTAACACATGATGTACATGTGAAGGAATCATTTGGTCATTATCCATCAAACAGGGACAATTCTAAAGTAACATTCACCTTATGAAAAGGAAGTATTTTGTTTTCATAAGGTGAAAGTTACTTTAGAAATGGCTCTGTAGGATGGACTGAACTTTGTTTTTGATCTAAATAAGTTAATGTGCCTTGAGAGTTTACCAAAAGAAAGAAAAACCCAACAACAACAAAGAAGTGACTTATATTCTATAGATTTCTTGAGGTTGGAAAGGGAGTTCTTCACTGGCTGGCAATTATTTTTTACAGCTTCAAAAGTGTCATCTTCAACACCAATGAGAACAAAATCTAAGAGACACTTTGTTGTGTTTTGTGTTTCTGTCTATTTTGGTTTGTGCTTTGGATATCTACCTTTTTAACAACAGTGTGTTCAGTTCAATATAGTTAAATAGATACTTGCTGAGTTCCTGTTATTTGGCAGCTTGCCTTTTTGCTCATCATTAGCAACGGTCTTTGCTTGTTCCAAAGTGAATGTTAAGACAACTTAGGAAAAAGAAACAGCATTTTGCACATGACTGTCAGATGTGCTAGACACCTATGGGGTTCCTTTTCTTCCTCCTGTAGAAAAACTACAGTTTAACTCCTGGGTCCATAGAGTTTAGAAACTTAGCATTTCCAGACAAAGAAATAACTGGTTTATGGATGGTTTTTAACTGCCTTCAGGCAGGGTGGGCTGCTGGGGGTTCTGGAGAGCCCCTAGCTAAGATTCTGTGCAGTTTGGAGAACCCTCAAATCCCAATCCTGGCTGGCCTCGCCCACCCACCCCACCCCTGCCCCGTAGTCCCCATGTGGCCCATTTTGGATGCAGGTAAGTGCAGGTCGTGCGCGGAGGCTCGGGGAGGGCAAAAACGGGCCTCCCGGAAGTTCAGGAAGGCCAGAAATGGGCCTATTTCTGGCTTCCAGAGAGCCTCCAGAGCCGGGGAGGCCATTTTCACCCTCCTGGAGGCTCAAAAAAAGCCTCTGGAGCAATGGGAGGGCAAAAATGCCTCCCCACTGTGGTGCAGGAGGACGACAAGGCCACGCCCATCCAGCAACCAGGCAAAGAACCCTTTGCTAAGATTTTTGAAGCCTACCCCTGCCTTCGGGTGGTCCTTTGTTCCTTATAAATTAAGAGCTTTATAAAAACTTTGCTCCCCTTTTCCTTTTCATGAAACAAAAAGGAAGCAAAAGGATAACAAGTATTTTTATTGATTGATTTGCATGGATGAGCCTGGATTAGATTAAATCCTTCTGAA